CAATAATGATATTGTTGATGATGATGATGATGTTGATGATGATTATGGTGTCCCGATGATGATGTTGATGATGATGGTGATGATGATGATGGTGATGCTGATGGTGTCCCGATGATGATAATAATGATAATGACGATGTTGATGATGATGTTGCTCATGATGATGATGGTGCCCAAATGATGATGATGCTGTTGATGATGATGATGATGATGATGTCGATGATGATGATGATGATGATGCGATGGTCATGATGATGATGGTGTCCCGAGGATGATGACGATGTTGATGAGAATGTTGATGGTGAGAACGATGGTGATCATGATGGTGTCCCGATTATGATGATGATTTTGACGATGCTGCTGATGATGATGACGATGACTGTGTCCCGATGATGATGATAATGTTGATGATGATATGATGATGGTGATGATGATGATGCTGTCCCGATGAGCGATGTTGACGTTGATGATGATGTTTATGATGATGATGATGACGGTGCCCTCATGATGATGACGGTTTTGGTGATGATGTTGATGTTGATGATGTTGATGACGATGATGATGATGATGATGATGATGATGACGACGATGATGATGATGATGACGTTGATTGTGAGAGCGGTTGTGATATCGATAGTGAGATCGATATTGAGACCGAATGCGAGATCGATTGTGTGATCGATTGTGAGATCGATTGTGAGATCAATTGTGAGATCGATCGAATGAGATAGATCGAGTGAGATCGATTGTGAGATCGATCGAGTGAGATCGATCGAGCGAGACCGATAGTGAGATCGATACTGAGATCGATAGTGAGATCGATCGAGTGAGACGTTGGTTCTCCCCCCCGAACCTCCTTATCACCCGAAGGGCGGTCGTATAGGTAATATTATTATCATTCGTATTATTATTAGTATCCGTAAGGGCTTCGCCCCTATGCCGCCGGCCCCCTTTCTCGGATAATGGGAGGTGCAACTGCTAAATCATGAGGTCTGGGCGCCGCCGTGAAGCAGTGTCGGGACTTGTTTGTTTTTCGACCCTGACCCTGTGCATCTGCGTCGCGGGTGCCACCGAATTTCAGATTTGTAGCAAATCCTGTGTGCTTTTGGACCTTGACCCTACGGATTGCGTGAGTGATGCCGCCGAATTTCAGAAATGTGGCAAATCCTGTGTGTTTCTGGAACCCTGACCCTGCCGATCTGCGTGAGGGGTGCCGCCGAAGTTTAGAAATGTGGCAAATCTCATGCGTTTTTTTACCCTGACCCCGCCGATCTGCGTGAGGGGTGCCACCGAATTTTAGGAATGTAGCAAATCCCATTTGTTTTTTGGACCCTGACCCCGCAAATCTGCATGAGGGGTGCCAGCGACTTGCGAACGTGTAGCAAATCCTCTGTGTTTTGCACCCTGACCCCGCCGATCTGCGTGAGGGGTGTCACCGAATTGCAGAAATGGCACATCCCCTGTGTTTTTGGACCCTGACCCTGCCGATCTGCGTGAGGGGTGCCACCGGATTTCAGAAATGTAGCAAATCCTGTGTGTTTTTGGGCCTTGACCCCGCCGATCTGCATCAGGGGTGCCAGCGAATTGCAGAAATGTAGCAAATCCTTTGTGTTGTTGCACCCTGACCCCGCCGATCTGCGTGAGGGGTGCCACCGAAATGCAAAAATGTGACACATGCCTTGTGTTTTTAAACCCTGACCCCGCCGATCTGCGTGAGGGGTGTAAATTTTTACACACCCCAGCAATTCAGAGCACACGCTCAGGGCGTGGTAGAAGTGCCCGTTTTGGGCCTCCCCCCCTCGCGCGGTCCATCAACAAGGAACAGTAAGCAGCAAGAATTCAATAAGGAGCATTAAGCAGCAAGAAGCAGAACTGTAACAGTGGGAACTGGAAGCTGCAACTGGCCCAGGAAACTGCGAAGCTTGGGCCTACAGCCTGGTGGCCCCACAAGCGGGCCGGCGGATTATGACTACTACGACTCTTATTGCTCCTTTTGCCTCTACTGTTACTGCTACTGCTGCTGCTGCTGCTGCTGCTGCTGCTACGGCTACTCATACCGCTATTGATTCCTCTTCTACGACGATTGCAACCACCACCACCATTATGACTATATTATTTCTGCGACTACGATGTTCCAATATGCTTCGCTCCCGAAGTGTCTCGCTGGAGGTGTCCTTGAGAGACTCTTGGAAGCATCCCGGGGACTTCTTGAAGCCTTGAGGGTTCTTTGGTGAGTGTTTGCATGGTCTTGGGGCGTCTTGCAGCCGTTACGGAGCGGCCTTTGGTTGTTTGGATGGTGTTGTGTGAGGCCGAAAGGAGTGGCGGAAAGCAAAATCAGAGGGGATGGGAAGTCGTAGAAACATGCGCTAACACATACCAGGCAACGCGGGAGCATCCCAACACGCCCCAACGAGCATGCGGCACGGAGGCGAGTAAGGACAATAGTATGCTTGGACTTTAGTTTACTCTGATTCTTTCTATCGGGCATTGAGGGAACGCCCACCCAGATAAGCCGATTGAGGAAACATGCGCTGGTTCACTCGACATGAGCATTCGAGCGTACAGGTGCAATCGCCAGTCGGTTTCGCGAATCGTTGTGAGTTTTGCTGGATGCAACCAGTTGCTTTCCGTCATCGACTAGCTACCTTGCTGGGGTGCACTCGGAATGTGGTGCCGTGCGCACGAGGAGTGCGCTTGCCTTTCTTCATTAAAGGGTGTTTTGATAAAGGAGCGATACTAGGCTCTCGGGAGCCATCACATTGGCCGAGGGGCGATCGGATTGTCTCAGACCGCCCAGGGACAGAGATCGGGTGGAAGGCAGGCTCGAGGGCCGATCCCTCAGAAGGTACAGCCATAACCTCTTTGGCAGCGAGGTCTGGCGCTCATGGAGAATCCCCGGACACCATGTAAACACCGAACACCTCCGTAAGCTCGTATTCACGAGGGCGAGGCCAAGTCAGACTCCCCGAGTCCCAACCCCCTCGTGCTGCAGCCGCGCCCGCGCCGCCTGCCTGATGCCCTGTTGGCCTCCAGAACACATCCAAAAGTTCCTTCCCTCTCCTCCTCCTCATCCTCCTCCTCTTCCTCCTCCTCCTCCTCTTCCTCCTCCTCCTCCCCCTCCTCCTCCTCCTCCTATTCTCCTCCTCCTCCTCCTCCTCCTACTCCTACTCCTACTCCTACTCCTACTCCTACTCCTACTCCTACTCCTACTCCTACTTCTTCTCCGACTCCTACTCCTGCTTCTTCTCCTCCTCCTCCTCCCTCTCCTCTTCCTCCTCCTCCTGCTTCTCCCCCCTATCCTCCTCCTTCTCCTCCTCGTCCTCCTCCTCCTTCTCCTCCTCCTTTTTCTCGTCCCCCCGACACTGTTCCCTCCCCCCGTCCACCGAGAGTTCTTGGCGGAGCTTGCCCTTTCCTCCTTCCTGACCTCCCCCTCCCCTCCAGATGTCCCAGAAGTTTACGCGAAGGCCCCCCCCCCGGGGGCCTCGGGAGGTGTCCGGAGGCGTCCGGAGTTCCGGGACGCCCCAGAGGATCTCAGAAATCTAGAAGCGTATAACGAAACAAAGCCTCCGATTCGAACGGGTTTTCCAGTAGCACCAGGTGTAGATATCCCGCTGCCTCTTGTACTTGTTACTCTAGTCGCTGCCTCAGACACCACGATATGTTACATCTCCTGTCACTTGCTTGAGGAGAAAAATATAGAAGCGTAGCAACAATGGATTCTGGATTCCTCTGGGGGGGGGGGGAACACCATTGCTGCAATGGTGTTCCTCCCCAGCCTCCTCTGGGCGGAGCGCCCAGGGGGGGAAGGGGCAGAGGGGGGGGGGGCGAGGGCCTCCCCAGATGCTGTCTTGGCCTTTTCGGAAGACGGAGGCCGGGGTCAACGGTAAGGGGGCCACAGGCTCAGAGGGGGGACGCAAGGAGGAGGAGGAGGAGGAGGAGGAGGAGGAGGAGGAGGAGGAGGAGGAGGAGGGGGAGGAGGAGGAGGAGGGAGGAGGAGGAGGAGGAGGGGGGGGAGGAGGACGAGGAGGAGGAGAAGGAGGAGGAGGAGGAGGAGGAATGGACTCCCACTCGCCCAGGGATCGTCGATGGGCGTCTGGTGTCCCGGCCTCGCCGAGGCATCGGCAGTGTGTCGCCGATTCCAGGTCGATGCCTCCCCGCCCCGAGCCAGCCCGCCCCTCCTCGCTGCCTCTCCAGCGAGAAGGCCTCCGAGAAGGCCGGGGGGCAGCGGAGGAGAGCCCCGCCCCCGTCGGAGCACGCCTGCCGCCTTGTTCCTCGCAGGGCTGTCGCCGAGGCCTCGTTCCTCGTTCCTCGCACGGCACGAGATGATGGGCCTGTTTTCCACCTCCACGACCACACGTTGGAGGGGGAAGGAGGAGGAGGAGGACGAAGAGGAGGAGGAGGAGGAGGAGGAAGAGGAGGACCCCTCTTCCCCTCCTACTTATGGTGGTGGTGGTGGTGGAACTGAAGCCCGCCAAGAGACGGCCTGCCTTGGCGGGCCAAGCCTACCTGCTCCTAGAGGACCGACATCTGGGGCCGATGCCAAACACCGCTCTCGCGTCATCGCAAAAAGCGCCTGTGAACACATTGGGCGCCGTGACTTCCGTGGACACGTTCGGGGTGGATACGTCCATGGATAACGTGGCCGTTGCGTTCGGCGCGGTGCGAGGTCGGAGAAAGGGTAGATCCGTGTATGGTAGATTCCTTTCCTAGAGCAGGTCCCACATGGTACTCCAAGGCCTGCCCCCTCTCGCTTCCCCCCCATGGCGCGCCGCCAAGATGATCAAAAGCCATAGTGAGGATGCGCTACTTCATCAATTCCACCCCTGCATCCCTGCTTCGTCGGCCCATCCTGAGCCAGTGCTGGCGTCCAGGGAGCTCTAAATGACAAAGGGGACCTCCCAGGGTTTTGCACCCCTACCTTGTATCTGTATGTTTGATGTTGACTGTGTTGCTCCTTCCACCCCCCCTCCCCCTCCCCCCTTCGACGATTGGCGCACGGAGGACGAGGCCAGCAGGATCAAGGCCGCCACGAAGTCGATGCTGGAGAAAGTGAAGGTGGGCGAGGCCTGCGCGTGCAATCCAGCGCGCGCTGCCGACGTCGACCTCGACGCTGCCGCTGGCGACGGCAACTACGGCGACGATGGCGACGGAGGCTGCGGCGGTGTCGGCAACGACGGCAAGGCCGACTGCGATTCGGAGGCCTAGAGGTTGGCACCAGCACCAATATCGGGTGTGCCTGCACCGAGAGAAGATGATCCCGATCTCGATGATGGTGATCATATTCTGGGTTTCTAGGTGGTCGAGAGATTACCACCAAAACCGAAACTTAGGATCTTCCCCCGGTGAATGCAACCCCCGTGTGTTGGTGTTGGCGCCCAGTTCCAAGCCCCCAAACGATGCCGACGATGCCTAGGCCGACGCCGACGAAGCTGCCGCCGACGACGCCGGCGGAGCCGACGGCGACGACAACCACGCTGACGACGACGCCGCCGACGACGACGACGAGGAGGGTCGAAGTTCTGGAGTGTTTTCGGCCCCTGCTGGGCCCCCAAAAGGTCGACGGGGGGCGCCAGGAGACCACTCGAGGTCTCCAGGGGCCTCCAGGGACCACCGGATGATGGGCGGAGAGGAGAAACACCAAGGAGCGACGCAAAGACGCACGCGAACACGTGTTCACATGAGCGACGGGAGAAAACGGGGTCGATTGCGCGGACATGCGCGCAGAAGCTTCCCGCGTAAGGTCGCGCGTCAGCGCCCCTGTCCCCACGCGGTATGCCACGGTGGCGGCCCGCGTAAGCCGCGGCGAAAAGTCGCTATGTCGCCGCTCACATTGTTTTTCGAGAACGCGTTGCGCGATCGCTCGTGACATGAGGGCGGTCTCGCGAGCTGGGTAGCAGATTCGCGCACGCGGCGGGTCGCGTGCGTCCTGGTAATTCGGGGGAGGAGCGGGGAGGCACGTCTCCAGATCAGTGGATGTGGACAGACCCAGACTCAGACTTCCGACGACACGGCTTCTTCCAGGAGAGGGCTCGGGACCAGGTATCTCGTTGAGAAAGGAAACCTGCTCCCGGCCCTCGATCTGCGTAGGGCTGACGAAATTGTTCGGCAGTCGGAGACGAGGTCGCGCAGGATCGGTTCATTACTGCAGAAGCTGAGGATGTCCCGAGCGAAACGCTCGTTTAAGATAGTTGGCTGAGGATTTCTCGCGCAGAACGCTCGTTTTGCAGGGTTGGGGAGCATGTCTCGAGCGGGGGCCTCGCCTGGGGGCAGCATTCGGATGATGTATCCAGCGGGCGCCTCGTCTGTGAGGAGGCAGGGGGTATCCAACATTGTTTTAAGGCGGGCCTGTCCCCCTACATGGGGATTTTCGGTGAAAAATGAGAAATACCCCAAACATACCCCAAGAAGGTCAAACAATATTCCAAAAATAGTTCCCAGAATATCTTTGGACGATTGTTCTATTATTTTGGTGGTATTTCTTATTTCTCGTCGAAAATCCCCCTGTAGGGGGACAGGCCCGACTTAAGGCAACATTCAGATGATGTATACAGCGGGAGCCTCGTCTGTGAGGAGGCAGGGGGTATCTAACATAGCTGTCCCGAGCTGGAAACATGTGTGTTTTACATGTCCAGGCCGCCCAGGGGGGTACCTAGCATGGTTGCCCCGAGCTGGTGCCAAGTGATTTGACGTCTCCAGTCCACCGATTGGCCCACGACACATTGGGTGCCCTGGACACGTGAAAACACATGGGCTCCTACCGCCCCAGAGCGGCACAAGTTTGACATCAAATGGGTTTTTGACCCCCCCGACCGGGATAATCATGAAAACTCGTGGGTGTTCGACGCCCCAGAGCGGGACAATATTGAAAACACTTACGTTTCGCCCCAGATTGGGACAAGCGTGAAAACAGATGGGGTCCTAACGCCCCATAGCGGGACAAGCGTGAAAGCACGTGGGTTTTTGACGCCCCCGAGCGGGACAAACATGAAACAACATGGCTTTCAAACGCCCCAGGTGTCCAGGTCGCCCAGGCGGATGTCTAACATGCAAACTGGTCCAGGAATTTTCAAGCGAAAAGTATGCTTACGTATGTTTGTGTAAAAGGTTCACTTCGCGCGTGAGTCCAAGCCGTATGTTTTGTACATGGGTTCCTGCAGCCCGTGAACCCAAGCATTGTGTTTTTCCCAACAAGCCTGTGGTGTTGGGTCCTAGTTTTGAAGAGACAGCGCCCCGCGTCTCCTCCTCCTTCCTCCTCCTCTCCTCTCCTCTCCTCTCCTCTCCTCTCCCCTCCTCCTCCCTCTCCTCCCTCCTCCAATCCGCCTCGTCACCTTCTTGCGTTTCACCCGCCCAGTACAGTGCTTCGTGGCCCCATGGTGAGCTCGACCGAAGGCTTCAGTGGCACAATCCGCATGCGTCAACGCCACCCAGGACAGCGTTTCGTGGCCCCACAGGGCGCTCCACCGAAGGCTCCAGTGGCACAGGCAGCATGCGTCACTGCCACCCAGGACAACGCTCCGTGGCCCCACAGGGAGCTCCACCGAAACCGGTGCCCACAATGCGGTACTCCCAACTGCATATGGTTGTGTGCTTCGTCAGGCTAATCTACACGGTTTCTTTTCGCCCGTGGACCCAGTTTTTGTAGTTTTCCATGGGAAGTGTCGAGCAGGGGCCCCGCCGTGTGGAGTTCCAGTGGGAGGGGCGAGGGGGAGGAGAGGCAGAAGCTGAAGCCATGCGTGTTTAATTCGGTTTTCACATGGGGTTCTTGCCATCCGTGAGCTGGCACAGCGTGTGCTCTTACATGGGACCTGTTCACCCACGGGCTAAGTCCATGCGTCGTCACATACGTGGGTTCAATGCATCTGTGAGATTGAACCTTGTGTGTTGACAGTGGTTCCTTTTGCCCGTGAGCCGGCATACGTAGTGTCAGGCGATCGCAAACATGGATTAAGGGGGCGTGGAACAGCGACGGGTCCCGTTTTCATAGGAAATCGCGGATTTCCGCCGCCGAGAAAGGCGGCACTGGCCGCAATTTAGGGAGGGCACCTCCCCCGATCCATGGATTTGGCGACCGCGCGCCAAATTCATGGATCGCATGTTTGCGTGCCCCCGATAGTGTTGCATGGATTCATGTCGCCCGTGAGTTGACACCACGTTGTTTCACAGTGATTCCTTTCATTCGCGAGTTCAAACCAGGTTTGGCAGCAGTTTTTATTTCCTCTTGTAGGCGGAAACCATGTGTTTTTACCTAGGCTCTCTTCGTCCGTGAGCCAACACAACATGTTTTTTGCCTGGATTTCGCCTCCCGTGAGCAAACACCTGTGGACGTCTCGGGCCAGGGTTTCATTTGTGTGTGAATTGCGGGGCAGGCTCGAGCGGGGGGGGGGCGCCTTGTGGAGCTCCAGGAGGAGAAGGAGGAGGAAGAGGAGGGGGAGGAGGAGAAGAAGCTGAAGCTAAAGCTATGGGTGCATGAGGGGCTGAAGCCGCGGATCCCACGGAGAAGACTTGCGGAGCAGAGTGGGTCGTCTCATGATTTGTCTTTTGTCGCCTTCCGTGGCAAGTCTCTTGGCGCGTCCCTTGGCAGGTGCCCTGGCTTGCGCGTTCCCTGCGGCGTGTCCCCTGACACGTTCCGTGGCGCATCCCCTGTCGTTTCTCCCTTGGCACGCCCCCCTGGCGCGTCCATTGCTGCCACGTCTCCTGGCGCGTCCCGTGGCACGTCCCCTGGCTCGTCTCTGACGCGTTCCCTGACTAGTCCTCTGGCGGTTTCCCTTGCCCTGTGGTTTCGGGAGGGTGAGCCGAAACCCATTCGGTTTCTCATAGTCTCGGTGTGTCTTTCCTCGATTCGATTAAGGTTTGTGTTCTTGTCAGGGTTCGTATTGTGTCGGATCGTCCTGTGTCAGTTCGTTGCGTCTCGGTTCGCCGCGTTTCGGTCCGTCCATTATCGGTGCTCTTCGCCTCGGTTCGAATTCGCCTCCTCGTAGTTCGTGCCGTGTCGGGACTGAATCGGATCTCGAGTTCGAGGAGTGGGTTGAATGGCCCGCTCGCCTCAATGACCACCAGCTCTGGGCGAGCTATGCGTTCAGGCAGCTCGAGCTTGAGATCCATACCAGTTCGATCAGGACTCGGAAGCCAATGACGACTAGGCCCACAACTCAATAGAGGACAGCTCAACTAGATGCGGCATGATACATGTCAAGCACGGCACAGCACAGCATTGCCCCTGGCACGGTACATAACACAGATTCGTTGCTTTGTTTCAGCATGGCAACTGCCCATCGCACAGTCAGGCGCCATGCCGTACAGTTCATACTCCTTTTCCGGGGTCGTGGGTCTATCATGGTCGCAGCGCGGTTTCTTTGAGATCCCGTCCGCGGGACCTGTTTGTTATTGCGGGCAGTTTTTGGCGGCCCGGGGCCCTCCCAGAGTCCCAGCAGCCGAACACGTAAAGGATAAAGAGAGTTCTCGGCTTATGATGTTCCAACCCACTTTAGCCTTGACCACCAGAAAGAATTTCGAGCGGCCCAAAAAGTTTCGAAATTCGAGGGTTTTCACGTGTCGGGCCCTGGGGAGACACTCGCCCGACACTGCTTCGACACTCTTTTGACACAATTTCGGGTGCTCGAAATTATTTCTGGGATGCGGGCCCCAAGTAGGACGGGAACAACATAATTCTCGGCGTGATCTTTGGGCGGCCCGGGGCCCTCCGAGAGTCCCACAAGCCGAACACGCAACGGACAAAGAGAGTTCTCGGCGTGCGGGACCTATTTGTTTCTGCGGGCAGTTTTTGGCGGCCCGGGGCCCTCCCAGAGTCCCAGAAGCCGAACACCTAAAGGACAACGAGAGTTCTCGGCGTGATCTTTGCTCATGGCGGTGGGCCCCACGCGGCGTACGCCTCGCCCCGGCACGCGGAGCGAGCACCGGGGCGCCGCTGGAGCCGCCGCCGGAGACGGGGGTCCTTCGCCGACCTTGGAACGCCGCGCGGACCTCCCGGTGCTCAGTCGGGC